CTGGAGCCACAGTATTTGTGTGGCCAGTCCAGTTTAGTTTCTGGTGAATGGTAACCATCAGGATTTTGATGTTGGTGGACTCAGCTTTGTTAATGCATTGAAAATCAATGGGAGAAGGTTAGATTATTGTTTGTTGGAAATTGTCATTCTCTGGCACTTCAGTGATGCAAGTCTTTCTGCCATGATGCAAATCTTACCTCCCATTTATCAGTCCAAACCTGGATGTTGTCCAGAGTATGTTAGTATGGGTACAAGCTGCTTTAGTATCTGAGGAGTCACTTCTGACCTTGTGATGGAGGGAAGACAATCAATAAAACCACTGATAATTGTTGGACACCGTCCTAAGGTTACACATCATCTTGAATATTGTTTTCAGTTCTGGGCACTGAGCTTTGAAGAAGATATGAAGGCTTCAGAGAATTTGTAGAAAAGATTCACGATTCAAGCTCCAGGGATGAGTAACTTCAATTATGTGCATAGAATGAAGAAGCCCGATCATCTTCATGAGTGCTTCATCAATGACCTTCTGTCTATCATTAAGGTCAGAAGTGGAGATGTTCACCAATGATTGCACAATTTTCAGCACCATTCACCATTCCTTAGGTACTGAAGCAGTCTTTATGTTGAAATGCAATAAGATCTGGACCATATCCAGGCTTCGGCTAACAACTGGCAAGTAACATTCGTGCCACACAAATGCCAGGCAATGACGATCACCAATAAGAGACAATCTGACCACCACCCCTTGATATTCAATGGTGTTACCATCACTGAATTCCCCACGATCAACATCCTAGGGGTCACTGTTGACCAGAAACTCAGCTGGACTTGCCACATAACCAGTGCTTGTAGGTACTGTGTTTAACAGTCAGGAAGTACTGTGGCAAGTAACTCACCTACTAACTCGCCAAAGTCTGTCCACCATCTACTAGGCACAAGTTAGGAGTGTGATAAAACACTTCCCACTTGCCTGGATGGGTGCATGTCCAACAACACTCAAGAAGCTTGACACCGTCCAGAACAAAGCAGCCCCTTTGATTGGCACCAAATCCCAAACATCCACTCGCTCCATCATTGATGCTCAGTAGCAGCAGTGTGTCCTACCTCCACGATGCACTGCAGAAATGTATTGAAGATCCCTAGGCAGCACCTTACAAGCCCACAGCCACTTCCATCTAGAAGGACAAGGGCAGCAGATAAATGGGAACACCACCACCTACATGTTCCCCATCCAAGCCTCTCACCATCCTGACTTAGAAATATATCATCATTCCTTCAGTTTCACCGGGTTAAATCCTGCAATTCCCTCCCTAATGTCATTGTAGGTCTACCTACAACACACAGACTGCAGCAGTTCAAGAAGGCAGCTCATCACCACCGTACAGACAGAGTCAAGAGGCGATTTGTTCAAGGTGATCAACTTATGAGGTGTCAAGTCAAAGAGAAAGAAGCTGGGCCATTTGGCAGAACAGTCATGAACCAAAGGACACAAATTTCAAGTGATTGTCAAAAGAACCGCAGATGGCATGAACAAAATCTTTTTGATGCAATAGCTATGATCTGGAATGCACTGCCTGGGAGATTGGTGGATATGGATTAACTCGTGACATTCAAAAGGGAATTTGATGAGCAATTGAAGAAAAAAAATCAGGGCTACAAGAAAAGCTGGCGAGTGGAACAAACTGAACTTATTCGAGCAGATTGCTGACACTGGTTGCATGGCTCAATTAAACTTCCTTCTGTGCTATAACAAGTCTATGATTCTTTAATCAACATAGATATAGTTTTCCTGTATATACTGATGGTACCTCATCATTATTGACCTCAGTTCTGCAATGTTTCTGTTCAGGTTAGATATTTGATGTCAAGCTGTAAAGGAATCATAGTCTTTGTATCATGACCTTCTGCAGAAGGATCACTGGACCCGAGTCATTAATGTGACTTTCTCTTCACAGCAGCTGCCAGACCTGCTGAGTTTTTCCAGCAATTTCTGATTTTGTTTCTGATTTCCAGTATCCACAGTTCTTTGCTCCTTTTTTCTTGTCTCTTCTCATTGGAAATAGCCTAAAGTTGGGTTGTTCAACTCCCACCAGGATCTTTACAACCGAGCTTCTGAGGTTGAGTTCCAATGGTAATATGTTTGGTATTTAGCTCAATCCAGAACAGAGTTCAAAATGTTATCCAGCAGCAGAAGCAATAGCTTCTACCTCCAAAATATTAATGGCCACCACCTCTGCCTATTCTCCAGCACGACTGAAAACATGCCATCACTATTTTCTGTAATGCTTTATTCAGTCCCTTTGAACTCCACCTTACTTAAACTCCAGACATATCCCCAATTTGACTGCTTCATCATAATCCTACTCCAAGTTCCACTCAACTGTCACCTTTGCCGTGACTGATGCCCATTCGCTTCCTGTCCTCTTTCTTCATTGCTTTCAAATTGTTGAGAATTTATCTAACATCTCTCATTCCTACCTCTGCAACCTTATCCAGCTTTAGTTCACTTCTGACTCCAGGAGTCAGCTTCCAGACTGATTTATCATCAATTGAAAAAATACCCCCAAATTATCTTATGCTGAACATTTAGATTTCATCAAAAAACCCTTTCAGCTTTGCAAAGTTTCATTGCATCTTCAAGATTAATCTTAAAACAGATTAATAATCCTCACTGTATCTCAACCACCTTTTTTCCTACTCCTCTCTACCTGTGAATTTGTTCAGGGAACTATGTTAATGAAGGGTCTTGTGGTACACTGGCAAGTGTTCCTGCTTTCTGAATTAGAAACCTTAGGTTTGAAGCCCATCCCAGGACTTGACCAAGAAAGGTGTATCCATGCCACAGGTGAACAGGTTCGGTGTCAACCTGTAGATCTGCTTAACACACACCAATGACAAGCAGTACGAGAAGAGAGATACTATGTTATAATGTGTAATGGACAAATTGGACCCTCTACCATCACTATCCACAGCTCCGTCCAACATGCTGACAAAGGATCATGTTACCACAGAGGCCTGGACTCTTGTGAACTGCAAAATGCCACTACCGTTGTGCTAATTGCAGATATGCATTACTGCAGAAGGACCAGTAAATATGAGTCATTGAGTTCATTACCAAGCACATTAAAGCAACAGATTATCTCAACCTCTTGAACTTCTCAAAGTATTCAGCACAGTTTCAGCCACAATGAAAGGGTTTTCTGATATTATCAATTCAGGGTTTGAGTGAAGATTTGTAGCTCGGGTGCTGGTTTTAGATGTTGGTGTGTTCACCGAGCTGGGAGGTTTGATAGCAGACGTTTCGTCCCCTTACTAGATGATATCCTCAGTGCTGTGGAGCATCCTCCTATGAAGTTTCATAGGAGGATCCACAGCACTGAGGATGTCACCAAGTAAAGGGACAAAACGTCTGCTATCAAACCTCCCAGCTCGGCGAACACACCAACATCTATCATATTATAGATAATTCATTCCTCTATAAATCTGGAAAACCAACTGTAAATCAGACAGAAATTGCTGGCCAAACTCAGCAGGGTCACTTGTTGTGAAAAATTAACTCCGCTTTCTTTACACAGATGCTGCCAGACCTGGTGAGTTTCACCAGCAATTTCTATGTTTTGTTTCCGATCTCCAGCATCTGCCATTCTTTATTTTCTATTCAAATTGTTTGACACAATTTATTCATGTAATGACCAGCCTAACGTGGACAATTTTGATCCTCTTGTGCGTTTTCATTTTCTGTATGCAGAGCAGGTTTTTAAGATACTTTCCTGAACTTGACAGAACTTTCAAAAGTCAGGACAGGTATAATGGGACGAATGGTCTCCTGTGCTGCATGGATCTGTGATTTCAAGGCATTGTTAGAGGTTGCCGCAACTTAACAGAAGATACATTTTAAGAACAACAACAAAGTTGCTGGAAAAGCTCAGGCAGCATCTGTGACGGAAAAAAAGAGTTAACGTTTCGGGCCCTGCCGGACCTGCTGAGCTTTTCCAGCAACTTTGTTCTTGTTCCTGATTTACAGCATCCACAGTTCTTTTGGTTTTTATGACACATTTTAAGAAGATCAACTCTAACTTCTTTCCAAAGCCTTGTACCTTTTACTCTATGGTATTACCTGCATCAATCTTAAATAGGACACAAATATGGTTAGATTCACAGCCCCCTTCAAGAAGTGCCTCTTATTGCATTAATATAAAATGTTACTTTCACACAAATGGGTACGTATAAATGACTCCATAATTTAGTTTAAGGAGGAGATTTAGTATTATAGATTGTAAAGGAATACCTGACAGCTGATAGTAAAGAGATCTTTTTTCTGCTGTAAATCACATCTGATATCATCAGTTACCCATACAACAGGTTTCCACAGTTGGCTGTTTAGATTGAGTTGAGGGGTAAACAGAAAACCCAAACTCAAAGATGAGTTGGTTTGTTTTTGGTATAAACACCAGAAAAAGATGCTAGTTGGAATGTTGTAAAATTTATGCAATGCTGCAAATTAGTTCAGCACTCCTGTAAGAAGTGTCTCAAAGATAGCAATGGCAGAGGCCTGGGAATCAGGCCCCAGTGTTCACAATGCTTACTGAAACTGACAGCTTCAGGAGCAAGGCCGGAGGGTTTACTCACCAACACCCCTGCCCAAGCCCCATTGCCATCTTCCTTGTGCCAGTTCTTACAGCAAATGGTCATAGATAAGGAAGTGTAAGCTTGTCATAGGAACATTGACTTAACAGCAGCTGTAGTTTCTGCAGTCGCAAGTCAAAGAATTACACGTAATTTATGCAGCCCATCGTGTTGTTTTGAGTCTGGAGGTTGACCCCATTGCCCCATTCAACTGCTACACGCTTTCAATACTTAAAACATTTAACTGCAGGCAGCCAGCATTGAACACTCACTGAGCAGGTATCGACGGAGGACTGTTCCACATCACTCAACAAGAATAAAACTCTACTTCAAATCCATGCCGACGGTCTAGATAATAAGAAGGGGATACTTACTTGATGTGATGTGCTTCAGATTATGTTTTAATAACTGCTGGAATGGTTCGTGTATCCAAGCTGACAGTGTCCTGTGTTGCTCAGGTGAGCACAACTGTGTGGTGGTGGAGGAATAGATGTGGTGATTGAATTAAAAAAGTAGGTGTGGACTCGTAACTCTTACATTGAGAGTCAGAACCAGATAGACCTGATCAGCCATTTCTCTATTCATCCATGAGAAAGTATTCATTTACAGTGCACGGAGGATAAATGTATCTTTCACAATGGTTAGGTGGGTGTGTTCTGTGCACCTTAACAATGTAAGATATTTTGCGCTGTTATATTTGTGTGACATAGATTCTTTTGTTTGGTTAGTTTTATCAGCAACCTGCCCAAGCTCAATTCATCTGGGAGACACCCAGCGATGCTGCTAGAAAGAGCAGATTTTCAATCAAGTAAAAATGATTTTGACAAACTTCTCAACATAAAATTCCTGAAATTCACAAACCCCTCTCTTAAGAATTTAGGTGAGATTGGATTTCCTGTTAGTGTGAAAGGGAGAACTTGCATTTACAAAGCACCTATCACAAATCGATTTGATTTGATTTGATTTATTATTGTCACATATATTGAGATACAGTGAAAAGTATTGTTTTGTGTGCTAACCGGATAAATCATATCTTAAGTAAGTACATCAGGGTAATAGGACAGAATGCAGAATATGGTGTTACAGCTACAGAGAAGGTGCAGAGAAATATTAACTCTAATATCTGTTCATAAGTCTGCTAACAGTGGGGAAGAAACTGTTCTTGAATCTGTTGTTTTTGAGTTTGAGTTTGATTTATTATTGTAACATGTACCAAGATGCAGTGAAAAATGTGATTTTGCGTGCTGTACACACAGATCATACCATACAAAGTACTTCAGAGGAACAGAACAGAGTGCAGAATACAGTGTTACAGCCGCAGAGAAGATGTAGAGAGAGAGAGAGATCAACATTGAGAGGTCCGTTCAAAAGTCTGATAACAGTGGGGAAGAAGCTGTTCTTGAATCTGTTCATACGGGTATTCAAACTTTTATATTTTCTGCCCAATGGAGCAGGACAGAAGGGAATATAACCAGGGTGGGCGGGGCATTTGATTATGTTGGCTGCTTTTCCAACGCAGGAGATGGAGTTAGTGGAAGGAAGGCTGGCTGGAGTGCATTCACAACTCTCTGTAATTTCTTGCGGTCTTGGGCAGAATAGTTTCTATACCGAGCTGTGGTCATCCCTCCTATTGACCAACCAGGTCGTATCTACCACCAGTGTCCATCTATCACCACCGTTCCGCCTCCACCTCTCCCTCCCTCCTCTATCTGCAGCGCCCCCTACCCCCACATCCGGTCCTGAAGAAGGGTAATACCCGAAACGTTGACTGCTCATTTCCTCCAGATGCTGACTGGCCTGCTGTGTTCCTCCTGTTTGTCTACCTTGGATTCCAACATCGGCAGTTTTTATTTTGTCTCTAACCAAGGATGCTTTTTACGGTGCATTTATAAAAATAGATAAGAGTTATTGTGGACGTGCCGAATTTCCTCAGCTTCCTGAGGAAGTAGAGATGTTGGTGTGCTTTCTTGACTATAGCAGCGAAGTACATGAACCAGGACAGATTGTTGCTGATACTTACTCCTCGGAACTTGAAGCTCTCAACTACCTCCACCTCAGCACCATTGATACAGACAGGGGTGTGTCCTCCACTCTGCTTCCTGAAGTCAATGACCAGCTCCTTCATTTTGTTGATGTTGAGGGAAAGATTCTTGTCTTTCCATTAGGCACTAAATTGTCTATCTCTTTGCTGTACTCTGTCTTGTTGTTGTTTGAGATCCAACCCGCTGCAGTAATGTCATCAGCAAATTTGTCAATGGACCTAGAGATGAATTTGACCACACAGTTGTGAATGTATAACAAGTATGGTCAGGGGCTGAGTACACAGCCTCATGGGACACCGGTGTTGAAGATTATCATGAAGGAAGCGTTGTCAGCTGTCCATACTGATTGCGGTCTGCAGGTCAGGAATTCGAGGATCCAGTTGCACAGGCACATCTTAAAGGAAGCTGCAGCCAGTAAATTACTTTTGAAGTGTAGTTAGTTCATATGTCAGAAAAGAGAACCGTCAGTTGGTACCACAAACAACAGTGGCATATATAACCATTGCACATACCTCAGAATCTCATATTCTAGCAGAGACATGACACTTTTTTTGGAATTAGATATTAAATGCATTTTTATTGCAATAAATTGTGTAACTTGTTTTGTAACTTGGCAACAGTGCAACAAAATTTGTAGCCAACTTTTAACCTATTTAAAGGTCTTGTTCATTAATCAACTGATGTGAATACACTTGTTAAAGTCGTTGACACGTTTGGAAATAAAGGAATGTTCATCTTTGTTCTCTTTTACTATTCAGGCGGTCTTGGAACGTAGCTAGATTGGATCATAAGATGTTAAATAAGTGAAAATAAGTAAGTTAAATAAATGAAAATTGAGAGGGAATGAGATTTTAACAGGATCTCATACTCAGCAGGGGTATGTGGGGTCAGTGATGTTACCGTAATTTACAATGTCGGGGTGGGAGGGTGTTGCTATCGGGAATGATTTGGAGGTTTGCACTGGAGGTTGGATAGTCTCTAGAAGAGGAAGAGCAACTTTATAGAGGTTCTTAAAATGATGAAGGAGTTTGATGCGGTGGTTTTTAAATGCGAGTGAGTCCAGATCAAGGTGTAATTCATATATTGACGTAATTCATATGTTGATGTGGTACAAATTGTGAGATTGTTCAAATTTTGACACCTTTTTGCATTTTACTGATGATTGCAATATGAAAAGTTTCAGCAGCCTTCTGTCTTACAAAGCAAAGTAAGTATGAGAATATCACTAACAGACTAAACAGAGAATTTCAGAGGAATTTCTTATTGTAGACATAGGTGAGAATGTAGAAATTGTCACCTTATGGTGTGTTTGAGGCAGGTAGCATTGATACACCTAATGGGAAACAGGATGTACATATGATGAAGAAGGGATTAGACAGATAGAGAACCAGATGGAAAGAGATCTTAGACTGGGAATAAAAAACCTGTGGAATGTAAACTCTGGCATTGATCCAATGGGCCAAACAGCCTGTATCTGTTTCATTGATTTCTGGTAATTCTGTGTAAACACACACGACATCAGTTTGAAACATACATTAATAAAATTTCTGGGGTTTCATTTTTGTCCCACCAATGAGTTTGACCATCCAATGAAAAGAAGCTGGCTGAGCTAGGGACACCTTAACCTTTTGAGCCTGTTCTGCCAATCAGCAAATTCACGTTCTACTTACACTCTAACTTAACGGATTATCCCCGTATTCCTTAATTTCTTTTATCCTTGACTTTACTCGATGATATGAGAGCAAGACAGAGGAGCAGGAGTACTTTGCAAACTTCTTCTACCATTCAGTATGATCAAGGCCGACGTATGACAATAACTCAACTTTCCCACCCACTCCCCATATCCCTTTATGCGAACTGAGAGGCTGAAAGACTGTCCATCACGGCCTGAACTGTATTCCATGTTGCAGTAACTGTGGTTGTCTATGGTAAAGAATCCAAAGATTTACAGCATGTTTGAGTAAAAAAACAATCTCATCCCAATCCTAAATGGCTGACCACTTATTCTGATATTGTGTCCTGTGTTTTAAACTCCCAACTAAGGGGCGTTTTTAAAGTCACATGACAAGGATGTTACCTGCTGTTACCAAGCTACATCAGTGGAGGTGAGGTTTTTTTTTTAATCCCCTGTACACCAACAGATCATAATAGCATCTCCTGATAGCAAGGAAAGATTTTGATTTGATAAGTTTCTGGATTTATAATGGCCTTGCAGGATCCTGTGCTAGATTTTGTGACATAGCAGCAGCTGTTTGTAGGTGGGAGCAGTGTAACACGCTCTGGACAATGTGCCCAGTACCCGCTTGCTGTTGAGTTAATGAGAGTGGTCGAATACTCAGTCACTCATCAGGAGTTGGTTAACTCTGTGGGTTGGTTTATTTAATGCAGTAAAACACATTAAAAGTTATGAAGCAGGCATTACGGCAAGCCATTAAATTTCCGAGTGGCGCAGTTTGTAGGTCCACAGTAGATGAACGCCCAGTTGGCATCATAACATTGTATACACACAGCACGTGGAGTTCTGAGAGGTGAACCCTCTTAAAGGCAAAGTGCACATATAGCACCAGCCTGCTACAATTTTACCAGTGGCAGGGATGTGGCTCATAGAATCCCTACAGTGTGGAAGCAGGCCATTGGACCCATCAAGTCCACACCAACCCTCTGAAGAGCATTCTATTCAGACATACCCCATCCTTGTTTCCTATGGCTAACCCAGCTAGCTTGCACACCCCTGGGCACGATGGGCAATTTAGCATAGCCACTCCACCATAGCTGCACATCTTTGGACTGTGAGAGGAAACTGGAGCACCCAGAGGAAACCCACGCCCTTACAGGGTGAATGATCAAACTCCACGCGGAAAGTCACCTGACGCTAGAATTGAACCCGGGTCCCTGGCGCTATGAGGCAGCAGTGCTAAGCACTGAGCCACCGTGCCACCATGCCATCTTGTGCTTGGGCAACCTAGCGTGTGTGTGAATTGTGGGTTCTGGCAGTTAGTTAATCATCACTTAAAGTCGTCATTCTGTGGCCACTGGGATTGATGCATCGTTTTATTGCATAACATCGACTGAAAAAATATCTGTCGTGAGCATGCAATATTCAAACCTTTGGGTCGGGTTAAGGTTACTTCTACAGAACTTATTACTGTTACGGTGGTGGGGGTTGGGGGGAAGGAGGTAGGGATTGACTCATTGGTGTGGGAGGGATGGTCTGATGGGGTGGGGATGCTTCAAAGCAAAATGAAGTCAGAATGTTTTCAGTGACAGTGCGGGTGGGCTTGGGCAGAGGAAAGTGGCTGGTTGTAATGAGTGGTGACCTGCAGTACGAGAATGACCAAAGAAGCATGGAAATTCCAGCGAAAGTAACCTTAATCTGGAAACAGGTGAGGGGAGGATTTGTTGGACTATTCAAAAATGGCCTAGGCACAATTTTATTTCGCAGTAGTACCTCTCATCACTGCACCTCACTTTGAACTAGAGGTGAAGGCAGATAGTAGGAGAGGTGGTAATGTCACTGGACTAATAATAAAGAAGACCAG